GAGGTGTTGCAGGGGAGGTACAAAACATCCTGGGATGCTAGGAGACAGAGTTGATTTGAATCTGGAAGGGATCTGGGACAGAAGTTCAATAAACCTGGATAGATGTAGTATCACTTATCTAATTTAGGTTAAATCCATTTATCTTAAACTGGTTTCAGCCATTTTGAAAGTGGTTTTATGTGCACTGAACTTCTGTTGTGTTACAGCGTTGAACCAGTTTCTGATCATTTATACTGGTTTATGTGTAATTTCCGCCCCTAGCCTTAAGGGAGTCTCCTTCCAGTGATACCTGGCTGAAAGGGATGCTTTTGTGGCCAGCATATTGAGAGCAGACAGTGTACTCAGATGGGTAGAGCTTCAAAGGCCAGGAGGCAAAAAAAACCCCATAAATACAAAAGAATTTCTAAAGCAACCATCACCAGCATATCTAATAATTAGACGGGACATTATCTACAGGCTGGCTAAATAAAGGGTTACCCTACTTAACTTGAGTTAGGTTCAATCCAACTTTGATTGTGAATTAATGATCTTAAGTTGAAGTTAAAATGTAAATAAATACTTTCCACAAAAATGTAACACTATAATGACAGCTACAAAATCTGGATCTAAAAGTTACAAACTGGTATAGTAATCTCTTTTTCAAAATGCAGTAACCTTAAAAATATTTAATCTAAAATACAGTTTGCAATCCAATTAAAAAAAAAAAATCTACAAATTTCTAGATCAATACATTTTTGCACAGGTAAAAAGGTGACATAGATTACACCAACTGTTTTTCTTTTTGCCGGAGTTCTTTTTTTTTTTTTTTTTTAACTGTGGTCTGTCGAATGAAACTTATGGGAACACTACTATAATATCATTAGCTCCTCCATGAATGCTTTAAATAATAACAGTTAAAATACCTTCCCACAGTTGCAACTGTAAGCTGTCTACAATGAAAGACATCCAAGTTGTTATAACTTAACTTTTGCAATTAAGCTTCTTTCAGCATTCACAATACATATTTCTATTTTTAATCATTTAGATTTTTTATCACAGAATATGTCCTTTGAGCCATGAATGTAGCAAAAACTTGTAGTTTTATTACAAGTTAAGACTGCTACATTATTTGGAAAGCATTTCCTCTTGCAAAGATTTCATCAACAACACTTGGTTCAAAGTAGCTTCACAGACTGCATGAAGTTGCTTCAGGTACTACTTGTAGTATGATCTGTACTATACTCTTCACTCATGGAAGCAACCTAATAAAAAGTGACAATTATTTTTCTGTTGCGCATTTTTTAAAAAATTTTCTTCACCCAATAAAAAAAGCAGAAGTTGACGGACTGATAACATTCTTTACATTACCCTAAATGTACATCATCTTGAATGTCAAAATCCAGCATGTTATTTCTTTTCTGAACAAAAATTCAAAGAAAACCATTATGTAACAGCATATAGTTTTCTGCAGCCTACTAAAAATATGTACCCCTGGTGATTTTATTCAGACAGAATGACTTCTCTTTTATCCACACTGAATTACAACACTTATAAGCTTGAGTGCAACTACAGCATAGTATGAATAATATTCAATTATTCAAACTGCTCTCTAGCCATCTGAAATGTGAATACTCCATTTCAGGAAATAACTATTCAGACATAAGTACAGTAAACTAACAGGACATACCTCCAAATATTTAATTACAGAGGGATTATAGTCTATGGTTTTTCTGTTGACAGCTTTTCTCATCCGCTTCCCATCAAAGGTGAGTTGCTGCATTGCTTGTTGCTGTGCAAAATCAGGTCTCTTGTAAAACAGCTGCCGAGGTGCCTGATGCTGGAACCTCGGCATATGGAAAAACCGGGGTGGAGAGCCGATTTCTGTGGCCATGGCGATCTTGTTTCTGAAACAACAAAGAACAAAAGGTAAAATATGAGGTTACTGCTTTAATTAAGATAAGATTCTGCTTTAAGTGTTTGGAAATGAGAAGTCTACAAAACAGGTAAAATGGCTGGCAAATAAACAGGGCAATATATATGAAAGAGTCTGTAAATCTGTTCAAAGATTTTGGGCACTTGTTACTCTCACTTTGACCCAGTAATTACTGACCTCAAATCTGTAATTCGCAATTTCCAGTCTAGTTCAGTAAAATATCATGTATCTGACAGGAAACTGTGTGGTAACTGGTCTCAGCACAAACCAACATTTACCATCTTTTCTAAGGACAACAAAATAAAAGTATGTTCCTAAATAAGCATAGTACAAAACAGAAAAGTGAGTAATTGGTTGAGGCCAAGGGCACCTATACAGGTGGTCCTAGGACTTACCACACAATTAGTTCCTGAAAACCACATCTTAAGTCAAAACGCTGTAACTCGGAACCGATTTTCCCATAGGAACATTGTTATAAATGGGTGATTGGTTCCTGAACAACAGCCCAATATCCTATTTTCACCAAAAATAACCCAGAATTTGGTACTCAATCAATTACAGATGAATAATATAGCTACATTAATGTATTTATATTGTAAATAGCAATCATATTGATTTGGAAGGACTTATTTGAAGTGACTTTGCTGGACTTTTTGAAGGGTTCTTGGCTGGAGTCTTCTCAGGAGTTTTGGCTGCAGGTTTTTCTGGAGTCTTGTCTGCTTTCTTAAAGAAAGTGTCCAAGAAAGCTTGGACAGATGTTCTCCAGGGAGATGGGCAACACAGCGAACTTGTTCGCTGGCGTGGGGTCAGATCAAGCACCATAAAGTTGAAACTGACGTCAGAAAGCTGAAACAGGCTGTCAAATTTTAAACGCTGGAGGTGCCATTCGTTGCAATTCAAAATGTCTTAAGTCGAGGACTGCCTGTACACATGTAGCAAGGCTGCTCTGATGCACTGTAATGACACTGATAGAGTCTGCTAAAGCATGACAATTACAATGCTCCAGCAGACTCCAGCATCATGTGTATCAGTGTCCCCATGCTGAAAAATGGCATTGAGGGCACTTTATCCAAAGCTTGTTCAACAAGCTTTAATTAAAGCACACCTGCCACCATTTTTCAGTGCAGGGATGCTGATACATGTGATGCTCCAGGTGCTTTAAGTAGAGCAGCTCTCGGTACTGCTCTAATTATAGTGCCCCACCACCACCACTCCCAGAGCATAGCTATAAACACTCCAAGTTTCATGCATGCTTTTAAAGACAAGAAAACCCCATAATTGCTGTGTACATTTACAGTCTTAATTACCAGGTTGAAGAGCATAATTGTTTTAATTTTCTAAGATTTGTAAATGGTCTTAAGAGGAAAACACTTAACCCCCAGCCCAAAACAATCTCCACTAATATCAGCAAACTGAGCAATGCAGTATTCAGAACCAGAGAGTGAATCTTTAATAATTTTCATTCCTTTCCATTTGCAAGTTTCTCATATTGGATAAACTATATTAACTCTGAATAGTTAGATTTTTAAAATTCTCAAATATTTTCTGTAAGACAGAAAATGTTTTATGATACAAATGATTAGTGTCCCTTTGAAGTTGGAAGAGCAATTACTAGAATAATAATAAACAGAATTAACCAACTTCAAGACTTAATTTCACATGACAAATATCAAATTCCAGAATTCTGCTTGGATTTTCAACACTTAAGAAAATCTCCCTACAAAGTGTATAGACAGACTTAACTGAATGGGTATCCTTTGATAGTAATACAATGCAAGCTATTAATTATGTAGCTATTCAAGTGTAGGAAAACTGCTCCAACTTTAACCCTGCTTCATTCAGGGTCAAAAAGTTAGAACCATTTGGCCAACTTTTACCCTGGGGTGGCCAAACTGTGTCATACATATGACAAACAGCACAGGCAGAAGCTGTGTGTAGCACACAAGCACTCAGTAAAAGGGAGGCACCAAAATGGGGGCACGAGGGCTGACACCTCCAGCCATGGAGAAGAAAAAAGGCAGGATACTGCTAGACGGGTGTCAGGTGTCACTGCCAAGAGTCAGGTTAACCTTTCCTGGCTCTGCACGCAGCATGCAATTCAGGCTTTGTATCCTCACTCTCCATAAAACTGCAGCGCTGACATTTCTCTCTCAGCAGTGTCCTGCCTCAGCTCCACTCTCCATGGTTAGATGCTTTAGCCTCTCTGTCTCTATTCAAGTGCCCTCTATCAGATACATCTCAGAGGAGTGGGAGTCAGGGAGTCAGCAGAGCAGCACTTGGGAAAGGGGCAGAGGTTTAACTTGTAGCATGCCTACCACAAGTTTGCCCACCCTTGTCTTACCCATACAGTCTCACGCGGATATAACAATTAGAAGGTATCAGCTGCTGTAAAACTTACGTTTGTTCTTCAGCGGAGGACCTCCTCCCTCCTAAACACTCCATTGCAATGCAAACATTTTGGGTTACTGCAGCACAGTTGCTCCCCGTTATAGGATAACTGCTGGGACTGATTTTTTCCCTTAAAAAAAAGTAGCACCTGAACGTTTTGCAAAGGACTCCCAAACACACAAACAAAATTTTAACTAAGGACCTAATAACCTTTACTATGACTAACAATTCAGAAGTGCTTCACGGGGGGGAGGGGGAAGAGAGCCTGAAGTACCAAGTTGAACTCTACTTATACTGTAGTTGTACTGGTGTTGCAAGTTTAAAAAAAATAAAATGTACATATTTTCAAATTAAGCGGACATAACTAAATATAGACACGGGCCAGTTGCAGAAGAGGGTGGCATTTATACAGTTGCATGTTAGAGCAGAACTGAATGGTAATATTGGGATACGCCTAATGAAAGCAACACAAAAACAAAGAGGATTTCTAGGCCTTCCTCCTTCCGAAAGAATCAAAACAGCAAGTTTCTACAACACAGCAGCCAACAGACTTCTTTAGGACATCAGACATACTACCTAAAATATCCAAGCAGCTAACCGTTAAATACCATAAAACCTGGATGTATAAGGAAAAGGTCAATCAATACTGGTCCGCTCAATTTAAGACTAAAACAAATTCAAACCAGAGAATGGCTAAAGTCACCTTTAAGTACTCTGAAATGAGAGGGGGAATGTCAAAGTTCCTCATCTCATCTAGTAGGCATTTCTGATATTCCAAATATGCTCCCAGCATCTTGTCCGACTCTACAGACGTACACAGAAGAAACTAACCCAGGTGAGTCAGTTCTTACAGATTTTTAAACTCAGTTAGCAGTATGCACTTCAAAAGCCACATTTTTATAAAAATCTACAGCTATACCCCACTGTAGACCAGGAGCAGGACCAACTGAGGGAATGAATATGAAGCAGAAGCAGCCACAAAGATTTTTTTGTATAATCATCACAGTACCCAAAAGGAAGCATGGACTGAGTTTCAGAGATCCAAGATGCACAAGCCACTACACTTCACCATTATGGATAGAAGTCAAGTACAAACCAACCCTACACTTCAACTCTATAAGAGTTGAGGAAAAAAGAACTTCAAATCGTAACTTATAACAACTAGAATGTGATTAAAGAGAAAGCACATGCTTTTTGGGGTTGCCCAAACATTTAAAAATCAGTCATGTCTTAAAAAATCTACATATATTTACTCAAAGAAAACAGCCTGTTTGCAGAAATACTCCAAGCCTGCAACTGTTTTCTGAATGGAAAGCTAACAGTGAAAAAGAAAACCCTGCAATTACAAATATGGCTCAATAAAACATTAGAAATGAAATGGAACACAGACTGGACTAGATGTTCCCAAAACCAGTGAGGAGTATATGGCTTAAATCAATGACTTTCATTAATAATTGCTTGACATATAATTATCATTAAGATAAGACTAGCTTGGACTACATCTAGGGACCTATTTAAACCGTGGTTTTGCGATTTTCATGGAAGCCATGAAAAACAGTGATCTCTGCAAAAAATGGCATTGGCCACAAGCTCCTAGAAAATAAAGCTAAATAATAAATAAATATAATAATAAACTTAATAAAAATAAAATATTAGCTTCCCCAGTAGGAGCCAGCAGTCCTTGGTGCCACTGAAGCCCAGCCTCGCAGACCACCTGGGAGGGGAAGGCGCTGGCTGCCAGGGCAACAAGAAGGACAGTAGCCCCCTTGTGCCTCTCTGCCAATCAGCACTGAAGGGGCAAGGCTGCTCAAAGGGCAGCCAGCAGTCAAGATGGTGGCTGCCCCAAAATCCCTCCTTCCCTGGGGCCTGTTGGCCAATCAGCACCAAGGGAAGGAGCCACTGTGAAATGCCTGCAAAATCAGCTCTGTGCACTGACTTGGTCGTGAAATTGCTTCGTCTCACTGCAAGTTAGGGAAGTTTCTAGCTGTATCTAGGAAAGTGAAATGTAGGTATATGTACTGAAATCCTTCCTTTACCTACCTCTTAAACTACCTTACCCCTCTCACTCGAAATCGCAGTTAAACTTTAGCACTTCACTGCCACATCTGGTCTCTTCCTAATCCACTGTCTTCTTGCTGTTTAGTATTCCAATTGTTTTTCTTACTTTCTACATATTAAATCCATTACCCATATCTTCACTACTTTTACTTCACTAGATGTTCCTCACCTACGTGGCTACAGATGTTAATAAATTTATGAAAATATCTGCTTGTTTTCTGTATAAAAATAATTACTTGTGATCTTCTCTCAAATAGTTATATATCCAATTGCTCATTTTACATACATGATATCATAACATCCACAACATCTCTATTTTAGCTGTATAGGTATTAGCATTCTAACTGGCAAATTTTCTAAGTATACACAAACAAATTTTAGAAAAAGAAGATAAGGTTTCTTGTTCTGATCAGTGGTCAAATGCTGAAGCAATAGCTCTCTGGAGAATTAACTTCTAAGTGACATAGAACAGCCTCTTTCAGGTAAATACTGGTTACCTAATTTTCTAAGCAGTCGGTATCCTAC